GCAAAAAGAGGGCCAGGCTCACACCCATGGCCAAATCTGACTGCTTACAAGACACAAGGTTAGGAAGTGGCTGGGTCAGGCCCTTTCCAAATGTCCTGTCCTGGCTCTCAGCACTAGGTGGGGTTGGATCCGGAAGCTGGGAAAGGGCCAGAGGCTTCAGTCCCTGGGATAGTTGTCCTCCCGGAGAAGGCTTCAGCCCAGCCCACTGGCCATCTTCCCAATATCTGTCCACACCCAGAACAGCTTGGCCAAGGCAGACACCCAGCTGGCCTGTTAGGGAGCCCTGTCACATGCAGACCAGGCTTTGGCTCTGACCTGGTTGTCAAAGAGACCTGAGTTCTAAATTTCTGCCAGGCTCTTGCTTTCTGGCTCTGAGACATCATCCTCTTGTTCTTGGTATGATTGTCCACAAAGACAGGAGGGACTTATGACCATATTTGCTAAGAAGCCCTGCTCAGTGCTGTGCCCTCCAGCAGGCTGTGCCCATTCCCCAGACAGCCTTGTAGCTTGATGCACTATCCCTATTTACAGATGAGTGACCTGAGGCTCACAGAGGGAAAGAACTTGCTCCAGGTCACACAGCCCAGACCTCAGCCTAAGTCCCGCTGTGGAATCTGTAACCTTTCTCTTCCCCCAGTCTGCTGCTCTCCTCAGTGCACATGGGCTGAACTCAGGCCTCTGGGAGAACTCCTGCTGTGTGTCAGGCCTTGGGCACTCTCCTTGCTGCACGGGCTCAATACCATTCTCCCCATTTTATAGTTGGGGAAACTGAGGCCTCAACTACAGGGGGCCTAGTCTGCTAGATTCTAAAACCTGTGTTCTTTCAAGTCCACAGGGCTCGCCAGAATTTGTTGAGGCCCTGTCCAGTTTCACTGGGTTTCATAACTGGCTTCTCTGTTTACTGACCATTGTCCTTGTAAGCAAGATCCCACGCCAGAGGGGTGGGTGCACCCAGGAGGTCCAGAGAGATGAGCCAAAAGCAAATGAGCTCCAAGAGAGGGCTTCCCATGAATGGCTGTGTGCCTGGGGAATCGAGAACATCCGAGTTTGGGGTGAAGAGAAAAGAACAGGGTGGTGTCCTCCAGGCTTGGCCAAGGCCTTTTGTGCATTGTGGCCAGGGGTGGAGGTGAGGGTGAGGCACCTCTTCTGGTGTCTGGGAGCTGTCCTGGGAGGCCCACAGAGACACAGAGAGTGGCCTGCGGGTGTCGAGGGAAGAAGGTCCTGGAGCTGGTTGTGGGGGTCCTGGGTCCAGCTGTGGGGAAGGAAGGCCTGCCAGAGAAACATGGCTATACCACTCCATGCTATAGCAAAGCCATCTGCTATTTGTGTGGCACTGAGGAGGACCCAGGAACAGCCAAACTCAGAGGTCAGGGGATCTCCAACAAAGAGCAGGGACTAGGCCTGGGGATCTTTCTGGGTATGCTTTTGTCCCAGGTACTGAAACTGTGACAGGAGAGCTGGAGGGCTTTCTTGGTGCCTCCTGTCCTGGTCTGGGAGGTGTGGCAGAGTCAGTGGCCCCACATGCTCCTGGTTGCCAGCTTGACTTGGGCTTGACTTGGCTTGACTTGGATTTGACTTGTTTAGCAACTGCACCCTTTCTGCATAGAGCCCTGCCGCTCCCTGCTCGGGCCAGGTGTTTCCAGGGACTCCTGCTTCATCCCCCAAGACAGAGCTGGCTCTGGAGCAAGTCAGACATGTGTGTGGATCTCAGCAATGCCTCCTTCCAGCCAAGTGACTCTGGCCAAGTGACTATCCTTCCCTGAGTCTCAGTTGCCCCAGCTGGGCCCAGAGGTGAAACAGTGTGCTGTTATGAATGCCTCCTCCCTCAAATCAGGGGCTCTGGACTGTCTGATTCAGAAGACCTGTAGAGGCAACCTGGCCCAGTGTCCCCATCTTAAAGATGGGGGTAAGAGAGGCTTAGAGACATGCAGGCTCTGGGTATGACTGCACAGCCAGTACCTGGGAATGAATAGTGTGGCTAGAAAAGAGGTGTAGAGGGGGGACATTGGACCTACTCTGTCTTTTGCATATGGAGATGCTGAGGCACAGAGAGGACTTGTCCAAAGTCACCCGGAAGTCAATGGCAGAGCGAGCCCTAGCAAACTCCATGAATTCAGGCAGGAAGCAGAGTAAGACAGTGTTGCCCCAGCAAAGCCACCACTTCTCCATGCCCAATAGTGAGGGTTTCCAGGCTCTGGGGTCCCAGGGAGCAGGGACAGGGGCTTGGTGTCCAGCTATCTAGGGATTAGAGCCAGACCCCACAGCTATATGGCAGGCAAAGTGTAGGGCCTTTGTGATCATTAACTTGGGGCAAGTGACCCTGGGTTGGTGGTCCATGACCCCTGGGATCTAGGCCAAGCCATAGCAGCTCTCTGTTAATCACCAACTGGGCAGGTTCAGGCCATACTGCTCCAGAGGGGGTTATTCAACTGGGCCAGCTGCTGGCTTGGGTTCACTCTGGGGGCTGGGAAAACAAGGACGTTTTTCTTTCCCGTTTGTTTGGATTTCCAAATTGTCTAATGAACAAGTATTGCTTTAAATATATTTTAAAAGGTATTGTTCTTCATACACTAAAAAACAAACAAACCCATATTGGATATATATACTTGTAACATTTCAAACCCCCCAGCAATGCTTTTACAATTTTTTCAGTAAGTGTCTTGAGGTAGAATCACATATATAACAGTTCACTCACTGTGCGCATAGAGTTCTGTGATTTTTAGTTTAATCAGTTGTGGACTCATCACCGTAATTCAGTATTAGAACATTTTCATCACCCTAACGAGTTCCCTTTGCCAACTGTAGTGGATCTGGGCACTTCCTGCAGCTGCAGGCAGCCCTGGCAATGTCCAAGAAGGAAATCTCCCCTTCATTCCTTACAAGCAAACTGCCTTGACAGGTTAGCGTTTACTGGTTTCTTAATGGTGCATGAAAGACAGAAAGGAAGGAAGGAGGGAAGAAAGAAAGAAAGGAAACAGTCGAACAATAACAACAAAAAGCTCACAAGGAGGAGAGGAGCACACTCTAGTCATTGTTAGTCAGTTTGCTTTTTGCACCTGGAGATCTCTCTGCTTATTGAGTGCCTACTATGTGCCAGGCACAATTTGATCTAGTTCATTCTTTTTTCTGCATAGTGGTCCATTGTACAGCAGCTCCATCATTTATTTAACCAGGACATTTGGGTCTTTTCCAGTTTTCTTCAGACAATGCTTCAGTGAACATCCTCGCACATGTTTTGCTGTTTGTAGTTCTGTAGGAAATGTTGTATTGTGCATTTTGAATTTGTATAATTAAATTGCTATCCAGAGAGATGAAACTGGTTTGCACTTCCATCAAGTACCTGTGAGCAGTGGGGTTTCTGACGCTCCTCCAGATGGGTTGGAAGAGGGAAGAACTCTGTGAATTTAGGCCAGGGCAGCCCACTTCAGGCTCTGCAGGCCTAGGGGTAAGCTTACTAGGTCTTGGAGTTCTGAGAACTCAGGTGTCCCTCTGGGGCCGATACCCTAGATACAATGCAGACTCTTCAGTGTGGCCTCTGGGCACCTGCCACCCCTTCTGGCCTCATTTCTTCTTGTTCCCTGTGTTTCAGACTAGACCCTTGTCTTCACCAGAGGTGGCCCATATTTGCCTGCCCTTTGTGCATGCTATTCTCTCCCCTGGAATGCCTTTTCTTTTCCATCTTCACCCTCCCTGATATTCCGGCCCCTTCTCCAGGAAGCCTCCTTATAACCCCTCTAGTCTCAGTTGCCTTCTGAGTTCCCTTAGCCTTTGATCTGATCTCTCCCCCACTCCCTTTTAAGAAGGAGGAAATTGTAGGTTGGAGAAGGCAAACTTCAACCTGATTAGATAGAAGTCATCTAAGAGCTGGGATGGGTGACTATAGCTACAGGGACAGGCAGGGACACTCCCATTTACCCATGTGCAGGCCAGGCTGTTTCCAAATGATTTACTCCTCAGAAACTTCTGTACCCATGCAAATATAAGAGTTAAGCATCAAATAAAGAAAGTAACTTACAAGAATCAAACCCAGATCTCCCGTTTCCCAGTTACAAGCCTGGGACTGGGAGAAGGCTCAGATCCTGTCTTCCCCAGGACGAATGGATAGGGACTGTCCAAAATGGACAAGAAACTTCAAGAAGCAACAAGGGCCTGTATTTTTGGAAACATGAAGGCAAACCCTGAGACACCAGCTAACGGAGGTAGATAGAAGTGATTGTACCCAGGAAGAGGTAAATGGGGTCAAAAGAGAGCAACCTTGCACAACTATGTGACTAGGTTTTGATCAAAATGAAACCTTTGAGAAGTAAAGTGTTTTTAAAAGATGGGGGGAACCGCTGATTTGAGTAAAGTAGAACCAGCAAGCCCAGAAGTTGGGAGTTTTACAGGCAGGTGTCTAAGCATGGCGTGCTTCACCTGCCCCTCACTGGTGGCATGCAAGCTGCTGAGCTGGGGGTTCTGATCCTGACAGTAGCATTTGTTAGCGGTGTGCAGGTTGTTTAATCACTCTGCACTCAGTTTCTCCCTCCGTAAAATGGGCTGTCCTTGGTACCCATTCTGATGCACCAGTGGAAAGCTTGCAGTGTTCCTGTTGGTGGTGGCATTATTATTATTATCATCATTATTACTGGAGATAGGAACAAAGAGGAGAAAGGGCTCGTAGAGGTTGCACAAGAAGATGAGACTGAGATGGGCTCTCCGCGGTTCTTTCACGCGCCCATTTAGCTCGCATTGAGTTGGCACCCGCTGTATGGCAGGCCCTGAGCTGGGTCTTCTTCGGGGAGCAGATGTTCAGGGCCGGCCGCGCCCAGTGGGGTTGGTCCGGGTGGGAACCCAGATGTCTCCGAGATCCGGGACAGATCCCCGCCTCTCCCGCGGGCCCGCAGGGGCGCAGCCCTGCCCTGAGCCCTCCCTGAGGGGCGGTCCCCTGCTTGGGCGGGATGGGCGGTCGGCTACTTAAGGTCTGCGACCCGGGGCCGAGGCTGCCGACTGGGTGCTCTGCCGCCGCCGTCGCCGCCATGGCTCCGCACCGCTCCGCGCCAGCCCTGCTCCGCGCGCTGCTCTTGGCGCTGTGCGCGCTGTCGCCGCGGGTCCGCGCGGCCACCGCGTCGCGGGGGGCGGCCCAGGCGCAGGCGCCCCAGGGGCAGGCGTCCCAGGCACGGGTGAGTGCCCGGGGGGGCCCCCGGGGCTCCCGGAGTAACTCTCTATTGTAAGTTCTTGCAGATACAGCGCTAGGAAAAGGGGAGTAATTCAGGTCTAGAATGGAAAAACTGTTTTGTTGCTTTGTAAGTATCTCTTGCTGCTTCCAGGGCTCTCGTGGGTGAGGGTGGGCGCCTCGGGGCCCTGGCTGTTTCCCACCCTACAGGCTAACCCTCCCCTTGGCCGGAGCTCTTTTCCTTCATCGCCTTCTGATTTCCTACCCATCGCTGCCGCCTGATTTCTCTTTTTCGTGTCTAATTTCTCCTCCTGTCTGCCTGACTTCTCTCCTTGCCTCATTTGATTTCTTCTTCCATTTCTGATTCCTCCCCATTAGATGTCTCTCTTGCGCTCCAGATTTTTCCTTGTGTGATCTCACCTCGATCTGCTTATCGTCGTTCCTATTATTCATTTCCCCCTCTCTGCTGTCTCCTCTGCCCCGATTTCTCCTCCTCTCCTCGCCCTTCTGCCTGAGCTCTAAGCGCAGCGTGGTCCCTCTGACTTCTCCCATTTGACTTTTACTCCCACCAGATCTCCCCTCCGGCCTGAGGAGACCTGCGCCTGCTGATTTCCGCCCTCTGACTCCAGCCTAACCCTCCCGCTCGCTGTCTCCAGCCCTAGCGCATGTCTACAGCCTTCCCCCTCCCCTTGACCTCCTCCTCTCCAACAGGCTCCTGCAGACCCAGGCTGTGTCCTCTCCGCCTTTTCCAAGAAATGGAATTTGGGGGTGGGTGTTGGGGGGGCAGAGGGAGGAGGCAGACAGCTCAGGAGGCCACTTGGGCTCAGCTATCCTTCTTGAGGGTGTGATGAGGGATGGATGGGACAAGGGCAAGCTTACCACTTCCAAAAAGCAAAAGCAAACAGGGTATGTGACCTTGGGCCAGTCCCTCCCTTTGTGGGCCTCAGTTTTCCTATCTATAGAGTGGAGGTAGACAATGAGCTGAGAACCCTGTAGTTCTAAGAGCCATGATGGTGCTGGAAGGGAGCAGGCTGAGCCCCTGGGGACCCCTAGATGTATCACTACCATCTGAGGGGGTCTACCCAGAGTAGCCTGGGGCAGTTCCTGTCCACTATTTCCTAGCTGAGTGTCCATTCACTTCTCTGTGCCTCAGTCATCACAGCCAATTGGCAATGAAAACAGAGGGAGAAGGGAGGTGGAGCCCTCTGCCTCCGCATCACCAGAAAATGCAGATCGGGGAGCTGAGCTGGAGAGACAGATGCTCGCTCACCAAGGCACAGGAATTGGAGCCTAACTTCTTGCCCTGTTTGCCAACTCATAGAAAGGGGTCAACTGACCCTGGCCATGGGGAGGCTCAAGTGAGACGCTCTTGGTGCTGGAACCCAGCCTCCCTCGAGCCCGGGGTCTCTCCCTGCCAAGACTTATGCCCCTTCTCAGGCTCTGCCTTGTCTCTCCCCAGCCCAGCAGCATGGTGGTGGAACACCCCGAGTTCCTCAAGGCAGGGAAGGAGCCCGGCCTGCAGATCTGGCGTGTGGAGAAGTTTGACCTGGTGCCCGTGCCCCCCAACCTCTACGGAGACTTCTTCACAGGTGACGCCTATGTCATCCTGAAGACTGTGCAGCTGAGGAATGGGAATCTGCAGTATGACCTCCACTACTGGCTGGGTGAGGCACCCCTGCTCAGCACCTGCCTGGTCCCAACCCCATATAGCCGCGACCTCTGAGGTGTGGTCCCAGGAGGTACCCAGGAGGCTCACTGATGACTGAGAGCTAAGTGTGTGCAGGCTCTTGGCTAGTGGTTACATGTCCCCAGACTCTAGAGCCAATCTGGGCACGTTCTGACCTCAGCTGTGATCTGCCCTTTGGCAAGACACCAATGTCCCTGTGGCTTGGACATGGTGACACAGCTGTACTACCTCAAAGGAGGGTCATGAGGTTGCAATAAGTTACGGTGAGTAACTTGGACACAGAGGACCCCTCCACAGCGTCCCTGGCCCAGCTATAGTCAAACCTCCTGCAGTTTGTTCTTTAGAGACAGGAGCCTGGGGTCTCTAATACTGCAGATCTGTTCTGCAATGGTGTAAGTCCTGAGCCCCATTATACAGGTGGCCTCACTGAGGCTCACAGAAAGAAGAAGCTTGCCCAGATTCTGTGGTGAGGCCAGGGTAATGCTGGAGGCACCATACTCCTGCCCCCAGGGTGCTGAAACCACTTTTGGGAAGCCAGACTCATGCTGCTCTGATGTCTGCTAGGCAACGAGTGTAGCCAGGACGAAAGTGGGGCGGCCGCCATCTTCACGGTGCAGCTGGATGACTACCTGAATGGCCGGGCTGTGCAGCACCGAGAGGTCCAGGGCTTTGAGTCAGCCACCTTCCTCGGCTATTTCAAGTCTGGCCTGAAGTACAAGGTATGTTGGGCTTTATCTTGCTTGAGTGGCTGCGACAGATGCATTCATGGCAGGGCTCACGAGGGGTCACCTGTCTGTCAGCTTCATAGGGCGATGGGCAGAAGCAGCTCTGATTGTGAACCCTGGGCCCTTCCTAGCAGTGTGATCCCGGACGGATCACATGCTCTTTCTCTGAGTCTTTGATTCCTTATCTCAAAATGAGGAGAGGACAGTTCCCTGTAACTTCATAGTGTTGTGTTCCTGGCCCCAGCAGTGAGGAGTGGGCCAGAGGTGGAAACCTAGCCCTTCTTGCAAGCCCTATTTCTGTATCCTGTAATTCTTGGGCCTTGCCAGCAAAGGACCTGAGTAAGGTATTTGGTAAGGCACTCTTGGTCACATCCAATCACTAGAATCCCTCCTGAACCTGAACTCTTAGGACATTGGTGAACTCTTAGGACATTGAAGATGGCTCTTTCCCTAAGCTCCAAGCCAGATGGGACTGAGCAGAACCAAGCTGGGAGTCCCAGGAGGCTGCACCCTCATATTTTGTGTGACCTCCATCTAGCCACTTGACTTCCAGAGCCTACCTTTCCTCTCTGGTTACAGGTGAGCCAGTTGTACCTGCCCTGCAGGGCTGGGAGAGGATTTGGTGAAAGGGAAGCTGGGAAATGATCTTGTGTGGGACTTGGCTCCTTGGAAGGGCTGGGGAAAGATTTAGGTTTGCAAAGCAGGGCTCTCTTGGTCAGGATGGGGAGGGCATCACAGATTTCTTAGCTAGATGAGACTTAATGTCAGGGCGCAAAGTTCTCCCTTTATGGAGGGCAGAGGAGACTGAAATACAGAGAGGAACAGCAACCGGCCCAGGGTTACACTGATACACCTTGGTGTGGGAGCTCAGACCAGAACCCAGATCTCCTGACTGCTGGCATTTTCCCATCAAACCAGCATCCCTCTCATGACCAAGGTGCTAGTAGGTTAGACTTCAAGCCCTGTCTGTGCCACCCATGAGCTGTGTGCCCTTAGAGAGTTGTTGTCCCTTTCTGGACTGCAGGGTGTTCTGTGTCCATGGGACAGTGCACTACCCTGTCTTCCTGAAATCAGGCACAAGGGGTTGAATAATGGAGAGTGCCTGTGAGACTCAGGGAGCAAAGGGCAGGGCAAGTGCTGGCAGCAGCAGCACAGGCCTGGGGTGCTGGGATGGTTTCCCTGGTGTCCACCCAGCCCCATCTGCCAGCTTCCTGCCCAGTGTGCCTCTCTGCCTTCTTCCTGAAGCCCTTCTGAGCTTTGGTGCCTGAGAAAGGAGAGGGGGAAAGGGTGGGGACCAGCCTCTGGGCTGGGGAAGATCTTTGACAACTCCTCGAGCTGGAAGTGGGACAAGCACTTGGCCAGGAATCAGACTGAGTTTCAGGTCACCCCATGAAACTGGGGTGAGACTTCGGGCAAGGTGTGTACCCCAGTGTTCTCACCCCCTTCCCAGCGGCCATTCCCTCAACACGCAGTTTTGAAGTCCCTGTCACAGCAGCCCCTGCGTATTGTTGCCTGAGTGTGGCAGGCCCGGCACCAGGAACATCCTTTGTCTGCCTTAGGTCCCACAGCTGTCCTAGGAGACAGAGCTCCACTTTACAGAGGCTCAGGGAGGTCACAAAACCAGGAAGTGGTGGAAGCCAGCGTCACACCCAGGCCAGTGTTCCCCTAATTCTGGCAGGCTGTGGGCCAAGCCCTGGGGTGCCAGGGGAAGAGGTGAGAAGATGGGCAGGCCCAGGAGGGAAGGCCCAGGAAGAGCGAGCCCATGGTACATGGGTGGGCGGCAGATGTGGCCACCTCTTCAGGGTGTTCAGGTGTCTGCCCAGCTGTCTTGCCTCGTCCTGTTTCTCAGGTGATAGCTCAGTGTCCAACACGGCCACACGTACGAGAGTCCTTAGGCACCGAGAACGAAGCAGCGCAGATCATGAATTCCCCTGCGTTGTTTTCTTTTCTTTCTTTTTTTCCTTTGTACTGGAGATTGAACCCTGGGCACTCTATCACTGAGCCACATCCCCAGCCCTTTTTATTGTTTTTGTTTATTCTGAGACAGGGTCTGGCTAAGTTGCTGAGACTATCCTTGGATTTGTGCTCCTTCTTTCTCAGCCTCTCTAGTGGCTGGAATTTCAGGCATGGGCCACCACACCCTATTTACTCTCTTTTAGAAATGAATAAGGATGATCAGAACCACAACCATATATTGAGCGTTTACTACAGGATCTCATTTAATTCTTACTGTAGGCTTCAGGGTGGTTGGTAATATTGCCATTTCATAGATGATGAAACTGAGGCTCAGTGGAGTAAACTAATTTGCCCCCACATACAGCTAGTAGGTTCTTATCACCGGAAACTTGTGTTACTTACTATGTGTCAGAGACTCTTCTGAGCGCTCTACTTATTTAACTCATTTCACCCTATGAGGCAGTTACTAGGATTAGCACCATTTTGGAAATGATGAAAGTAAGATTCAGAGATGTTAAGCTACTTGTCAAACTGCAGGCTCTGGGATTCAAACCCAGGTGTGAAGGGGCGGGCTCAGAGCTGGTTCAGAGTAGACATTTCAAGATTCCCTGATCTTCCACCTTAGCTCAGATGGGACCTAGAGTCTGCATATTTAACAAGCCTCCCTCACCCGCAGATGATTTTCTGGGTTGTTCTTGACTATGTTTTGAGGCATGTTCCAGAAAGTAGGACCCAACCAGGGCTCAGATTTGGTTTTTCAGTCCTGAAAGGTGCTGGTCCCTGGTGGAAATGTGAGGTCCAGGCGGTCCTGTTTACTACCTTGTGCAAGTCCCCAGGCCACCCGCCCCCGCACTTGACAGGCCCAGCCAGGTTCTCAGCAGGGTGCTCTCATCAATTATAGATTCCCAAGGAGCAGGGCTTGTTATGCAAGACTTGTCCCTGTGACAGCCTCTTCCTGGGAGTGGGTTCTGACCTCCTAGTGTGAGAAGGGGCAGGTAAGAGACCGACCTGCTAGGAGTAGCTGGCTTGGGGCCCTCTTGTTCTGTGAACCCTGTAAATCTTAAAAGTCATTGCACACTGCAAGGTGGTAATCCTTCACCTTCCCATCCTGCTTGGCCCCTGCCTTTCCGTTTTCAGACAGAAGGGGGGACCCCCCTGGGGCTGGGTTATTTGAAACCCTTTGTTCAAACCCATCCTGGGCCTGGCAGAGTCCTCCGAGCCCTTGGACCAGGAAACACTGTTGAAAACCCAGAGAATCATTGGAAACATTTTCTTCTCCCATTTATTGTAAAAGGAACTTTGAGTTTAGAGGGTAGAGGGGACCAACCCTGATCAAAAAAATTTTTAGTTTTATAAACAGTTCAATGTGTTTTTTTCATGTAAACATCTATTGCTTTCCCCCTTCTCATTATAAGAGTAATGCAAGTTTACTGTAAAATATCAAACGATACAGACGTATTTAGGTTTTAGACAGCAGAAGTCCCCCAAGATTCTGCCCTTGTAGATACATCCCAAGTGCTGGTTCAGTTTTTTCTCTCTCTCCATGAACATATCTGTCTTATCACTTCAATTTGGAAAGTGGCTTTTTAAACAATTTATCCTATTGAATTTCAAATTATTTGATGACAGTCTCTTCCCACCTAATGATTAGACTATAGAAAGCAATCTAAAGATTATAGTAAAAAAAAATAGCAATAATCTCCAAAAAATTCCTGCCTCCCTCCAGCATTTGGAAATCCACTAATGTTTTCTTAGAGCATTTATTTATGTTTTTATTTATTTTAACTTATCTTGCCAAATCTAATTTCCTAGATCAGTAAGATTAAAGGAGTTAATAGGAAACTCATGGCTACAATCATGAGAAATCAAGTAGTGTTTTATTTTATAAATTTTATACAGAGAAGTCCTCAGAATTGAGATTAATGATATAAGTAACCTTTTTCCTTTTTTTTAAAAAAAAGGTGTTTTTTTTTTTTTTTTTTTTTTATCTTGACAGCCCCCTCCCCTGCCCAAACCCCCGGGGGCACTCTACCACTGAGCTACATCCCCAATTCTTTATTTTATTTTATTTTCTATTTTGATACAGGGTTTTGCTAAGTTGCTGAGGCTGGCCCCAAACTTCTTACTATCCTCCTGCCTCAGCCTCCCAGGTAGCTGGGATCACAGGCAAGAGCCACTGTACCTGACTAGTGTTTTCTATTTGTTCATAGCAAAAACAAAAAGGCATGGTGGGTCAAATTAAGAATTTTAGGGGTGTATTTTTTAAAAAGCGACTGGGTTTCCTTTGCTCTTGTCTCCTCATATCCTTGTCTCTGAGGGACCAGCAGAAACAGTTGATGGGTCCTTGTATATTTTGGAAAAGCCATTCAGAGTCACTCTCCCTTGATGTCCAGCTGAGTGGAGCCGCAGGTCAGGGCTGAGCGGACAGATCATGGGCCCTGTCCATGGAAGGGAGAACAGGGAGGTGAAATCCAGCACTGCTGCCAACTAGCCGGAACCCTGGCACATTTGGTCCTGAATCTCCCACAGCCTTCTTTTCTTTGCTGGTGACACGGGGTGACACAAGCCCCTACCTCGTGGGCCTGTTGTGAGGATGGCATCGCGTGTGTGGAAGGCAGGCCCAGCCCGGGTGGAGCACAGTAGGTGTGGGCCATGTGTCCTCCTCCCTGGCTGTTCCTCATCTGCTCCCAGCCAGCTCTCAGAACTTTCCTGCCGCTGCCTCCCCTCCATCAGTCCCCACCAATGTCCTTCTCACTCTGTTCTGCTCACAGATCCCAAGCATCAGTGCCACCCAGTGCCTGAGACCCCTTAGACCCAGCCTGCATCCCAGAACCCCATCTTGTTTCTTCTGATATCGGGGAAGGTGACTGGTTGTTGGTTGCTACTTAGTTGTGGGTGGCAAAGTCAAGAGTGGAGGCTCTGAGCCTCCTCTGCGCTGCACACCAAAGACATTCACAGAATGGCACCCACAGCTCCCTTGAGGGCGCAAAGGCAGAGTCAAAGGCTTGGCAGCTCCACGGAGCCCAGGGAATAAGGAAAGGCTCTGTGCTGATCCCAAGAAGGGACACCAGGGGGCGTTCTGGCTCCTGGCACCAGGAAAAGACTTCCTACTTGAAAAAGGGCTCTGAGTGGGGATTGTTCCTCCCTCTCATCTGAGTGACTCCAGCGACCTTTGTTTGCTGTAGGAAGCCTGATGTTGGGGGAAGAAGGTAGGTGTCACATGCTGGGTTTGAATCCCAGCTTTACCATCTGCAGCTGTGAGATCTGGGGCGAGTCCTCACTTGTGGGCTCTGCTTCTGTCTTCTGTGAGATGGGGATAATGATACCTCCCTCACAGACGATGCCTGCAAAATGCTCGGCACAGTGGGCATTATCATGTCACAATATTATGTGTCGCTTGCTGTGATTGGCATGACAGAGGCATGATTCAAATGGCTCCCTTTGCCTCTTTGCCCTGAGCAAATGCGGCTTGCATCAGACTTTGCACATCCCTGGAGAGAGAGGCGGGCAGAGAGGGACCTGGCTAGGGTGGCTGCATTTCCAGTCTTTTTCCAGCATTTCCACGGTGGAAGCCCTTCTGCTTCTACCCTCCTGGAGTGTGGAGTAGGGAGAAGTATCAAAGTGGGAGTGGGAGGCAAAATTTCCAGTCTTGACTGCCACAGGCTTGCTGAGCACTTATAAGTAAGTCAGTCACTTTACTTTTCTGGGCTTCAGCTCACCATGGATAAAATGGGACACTGGGTTAGGACCTTTTTAGCTCTGATCTTGGGAACTGTGGCTGATGGGAAGAAATCCCAGCCAGTTTTTCTTGGCTTTCTGCTGAGCCAGGGGCATTAGGGACTAGAGCAGGGAAGCCCCCGAAGGCCCTGCTCCAGGACTTGGTGATGGCTGCAGAGGGTGGGTGAAACCCTGAGGCTTACCCAAGCTGCCCAGCACTGTCCTGGCAGTGTAATTGTCTCTTACCCACAGCTGCCTCCTAAGGCTCAATTGGTGGCACTTGCTGTATTACCCCAGGAGGAAACAGGCAGATGGTGTGGGTGCGGCCAGTCCCAAAGACTTCCCAGGAATCCTTGAAGGGTGGGAAGGATTTATAGTGCATTAGCCCTCCCCAAAGTGGGTTTTGCAGAGCACTTGAGCTGGAGGCAGGATGTGGTAGAGATAGGTGGTTCTTGAGGAATGCTGTGTAAGGCCAGGGAATGCTGTTTAAAGAGGTGGCCAGCAGTGCCCCCACGGGATTTGCCAGAGCCTCATCTGTGTTCATGTGTGTCGGGTAACAGTCAGCAGCGGGGAGTAAGGATCATCCCCTACACTTTCTGATCATGGAACCCTTTCCTTGCAGACTATCATGGGGGAGTTGGGTGTCATAGAACATTCCTTGGGAAATGCTGGTTTTGAGAAAGGAATGTTTTCAATTTTTTGATTTAGGGAAGTGGCTCCAGGGATCTTTTTAGTGGAGTGACTGTGAGTTTCAGTGGGACACAGTGTGTAGGGAATTTAATACTTCTAGCTGTGTGGCCTTGGGCAAATTTTGTTCCTTTTTCTAAAAGTCGGTTTCCATCTCTGAAATGGGCATAAGAATGTCCCAGTCTCAAGTGGTAGTGGATGTGAAAGTCCTGCATTGACTGGTTGTCACTGTGATGCTGTAAGGCCACTGGTCACAGGCACAGTTTCCTTCACCCTGATTCTATGCCCTTCCTGCTGGCTTCCCTGAACCCTGACCCTGGACTCATGCTGCCTCCTTCACCCAACAGAAAGGTGGTGTGGCATCAGGATTCAAGCATGTGGTACCCAATGAAGTGGTGGTGCAGAGACTCTTCCAAGTCAAAGGACGGCGTGTGATCCGTGCCACCGAGGTGCCTGTGTCCTGGGACAGCTTCAACAATGGTGACTGCTTCATCTTGGATCTGGGCAACGTGAGTTCTGCCTGACCCTTCCCCAGGGGCTACTGACACCAGGGAGGAAGATACACTCATAAATAGGGGCATAGACTTGGACAGGGCAAACCAAGGGAACCAGCAGGCCCTGTGCCCTGTGGGCCAGTCAGAGACCCACGTACAGATGTGTCCAGCATGCACAGATTCCTATGCATGTAGACTCAAGCCCATCATGTGCATGTGCATAGACCTGAGTACACCTTGTATGCACTTGGGATTTGATTGACGCCTAGATTCCCTGACACTTTCATTTATATCTCTTGTTTACCTTCCTCCCAACACATACTGGGGACTGAACCCAAGGGTTTATTTATTTATTTTGGTACTGAGGATTGAACCCAGAGGTGCTTAACCACTGAGCTATGTCCCCTTTATATTTTTTATTTTGAGCCAGGATCACACTAAGTTGTTCGGGCCTTGCTAAGTTGCTGAGACTGGCCTTGAACTTGCAAATCCTTCCTGCTGCCTCAGCCTCCCAAGTCCCTGGAATTCCAAGTGTGTTTCACCATGCCTGGCTAACCCAGGGTTTCTCTAGCACTGATTTATATCTCCAATCCTTGTAAATTTTCAGTTCTGGAACAGGGTCTCACTAAGTTACTGGGGCTGACCCTAAACTTGCCATCCTCCTGCCTCAGTTTCCTGAGTGGCTCTTATGTACCTTTCTACACAGAGACACACACTTATAAGTACATGGCCAGCATGGACAAAAACTATCGGCTGTTGCCCACCAGATGTGGACATCTGCACCACAACAAATACCCTCATGTGTAGACCTGGGCCCAAACATATATGTCATACACATGGTTGCACGTGTACATCATACATGACAATGCACTTCCCTAGATGACCCTATAAATGGATGATATAAATTTGTTACATACTTGTCTCACAGATCTGTGTGAGCGCAAATCTGCAAATGGACCCACAGGACATTCTACCCCAAGACTCATGTGTGTATATGCCCATGGTCAAAGCCCCTCCCTGAGTTAGCGTGGGCTTTTTAATCAAAGAGAGTAGACACACAGAAAAGTATATGAGTCCTCAGTGTCCAGCTCTGTGGATTTCACAGCATGAACACACCTGCATAACACCAGATCAAGAAACTAGCTCACTGGGCCTTCAAGGCCTCTTTTGCCATCTTCCAGTCCCTTTACCCACAAAAATAATCCTCATCCAGAACTCTCTTAACAGCATAGATTAGTTTCACCTGTTTCTGAACTATACATGCCTAAAACCTCACTCTTTTATGGCTTAATTCTTTGCCTTAACATTGCATTTCTGAGATTCACCTGTCTGTTGCATTTTGCAATTCAGTTATTCTTCTCGCTATATAAGATTCACTTTCATGGTGTCCCACAATTTATTTATTTTTTATGTTGTTGATGGGTATTTGGGGTGGTTTCTGGTTTGAGCTACTCTGAACATCCTTTCCCATGTCCTTTGGTGGACATGTGGGTACAGTTCTGTCAGATATGTTCCTAGGAGGTTTGCTGGCTCATAGGGTGTAGGTATAGTGAGCTTCGGTAGCTATGGCCACATGGTTTTCCAAAGCGCCTGTACCAGTTTGTATTCCCATCAGCAAGTGTCTTAGTTCATTTTTTGTTGCTGTAACAGAATATCTGAATCTGGGTAAATTTATTAAAAAAAAAAAAAGAAGTTAATTTTGACTCACAGTGCTGGAGCCTGAGAAGTCCAAGATCTGGTGGCTGCATCCAGTGAGGGCCTTGTGCTGCTTTGTAACATGGCAGAAGCAGGAAGGGCAAGCAGGAGCATGTACAAGAGGCAAGACACGAGGGATGGCCTTGCTTTAAAACGAGCTGCTTTCCAAAGAATGAATGCATTCCCACAGAAAGAAATGAACCCTTATAATGACTTAGTCACCTCTTAAAGGCTTCTTCCCAATACCGCCACAGTGGCAATCAAATTTTAACATGAGTTTTAGAGACAAAGCATTTAAACTGGAGCAGCAAGCAAACATTTTTTGTACATAACCTATAATGGCATAACTGTGGTTATATCTGTGAAGTCACATCCCCTGGAGTGTAAGCTTCACACTGATTGCACTTGGACAATGCACATGTGTGTATTCTGCCAGCCTTGCCTGGGCAAGTGCAGAACAAGATGGGCTTGTGCACACCCCACAGCCTCCTCCTTGCCGTGTCACCAGGCAGGGCTTATATAAAGTCTGGGGCGCTGACTTCCTGGGATCTCTTTCTTACAGAACATCTACCAGTGGTGTGGTTCCAACAGCAACCGCTATGAGAAGCTGAAGGCCACACTGGTGTCCAGGGGTATCCGCGACAATGAGCGAAGTGGCCGTGCCCGAGTATATGTATCCGAGGAAGGTGCCGAGCCCGAAGCCATGCTCCAGGTACCCATGGGAAGTGGGTGGGGTGGACAGGGTAGGCTGCTCTGGGTCTGGTTCATGCATTAGGCAATCGGAGGGGAATGTGAGGAAACCGTGTTCCCCACGCCTCCTCCTTAAGGCCTTTGTTTATCCACCAGGCCAGAACACTTCAGGGAGTGGGGAGGATCGGCTTCCCTGGCAACTTCCAGACCTCCTGAGAATTGCACAGATGTGGTGCATGCTGGGAGTGTGAGCCACACCCTCCAGTGAGAGGGCCAAGTCCTCCAAAGGAGTGGGAGAGGAAAGTCTACCAGCATCTCCTGGGGTCAGCTGAGACAACCAAGACCCAGTCCCTAATTTCCTCCTTTGGCAGTTCCTGATAGATTATGGCTTGTTTAGTTCATAACATGATGGGATCACCAGTCATTGTTTTGAGACTTGTCAAGAGAGGCAAAGTTCACCACCCCCTGTTTGCCTCCTACTTGCCTGGGAACATCCAGTTCCAGTTTTTGGAAAGAGCAGAGGGTTGACTATATGGAGAAGGGGAGCTTGGACATCAGCCATAGTTTTGGAGGGACAGTAGCTGTTGCTGTTAAGACTTGACACACCCAGAATGGAGGAGTGAACAGAGGCTCTGAAGTGAACAGGGATCAAGGTTCAAATTCTGACTTAGCACCTCGTAGCTGCGTGGACAAGTGACTTCATCTCTCTGGACCTCAGTTTCCCCTTCTGTGAGCGGAGAGTGATACCCTGTGTCTCCTGGCATGCCATCTCTTAAAGCCTGTGGTCGGAGGTGTTCAGAGCTGCAGCCAGCTCTAAGAGAAGGCAGATGACCTATCTGAAGGGCTGTCTTGGAAGAAGGGGGACGGGCGGTGTGTGTGTGGGGGCTTTTGACAAGTAGATCCAGCAGGAGGCCTGTGAACAGATGCAGGATGCTAAGGGAGATGGGCTCCACCTGGAGGGTCACCGTGGGTGCCTGTGTGGTACCTGCCTGCCAGGGGAGCTCTCTCAGGATCCCTCCCTCATGGCCACCCTTCCTCTCCATCTCCTGTAGGTGCTGGGCCCCAAGCCAGCTCTGCCCGAAGGTACTGAGGACACAATCAAGGTGGATGCTGCCAACCGCAAGCTGGCCAAGCTATACAAGGTGAGCTCCTGGGCATGGCGTCAGGACCAGGTGCCAGGAGACCTGGCGGTCCCCAGCTCCTCTGCTGTAGAACCTTAAGCAAGGCAGAGCCCCTGATGCAGGCTCTCCTTTCTGTGTTTCCGGTGGATGCTCATGTATTTCCCTGTTGTCCCCGAGCGTCAGTCAGTAGACCTGGCAGAGCAGTAATGGAAAAAGAAAAAGGAGACCCACTGTGCTCAGAGGTGGCGGGCAGAAGCAATGGGTGTTGATCAGCCATGCTCCGTGTGTGTGCTTGGGCATCCTCTAGCTGACGCTGACCTGCTCTGCTCACCTCTCTGTCCCCTCAGGTCTCCAACGGAGCAGGCAGCATGACGGTCTCCCTCGTGGCTGATGAGAACCCCTTCGCCCAGGGGGCCCTGAGGTCAGAGGACTGCTTCATCCTGGACCACGGCAAGGATGGGAAAATCTTTGTCTGGAAAGGTATGGGGGGCAGGGCCAAGGTCTCACCTGGTCTCTAGGAATTGGTCTCCTGTGACTGTCAGGAGCTCCCGGGGAAGGCCGAGTTTTGGGGGCACCCTGGTGCCGTGCAAATCAGGAATCTTGTTGAATATCTTGGCTTTGCAGTTGACTTGCTGTGTGATCTTGGGTACTTTATTTAACCCTCTCTGGGCCTCAGATTCCCTATTTGGGCTCACATTAGTGTTTTCAAAGTGCATTACAACATCAGTTCTCAGAGAGGTCAACAGGTGTCAGGTAAAAGACGAGAAAAATGTCTAACTCGGTGGTCCAGTACGTTCTCGGACCACAGTGAATTGGATGTTAAACATTAGACTTTTAATTTGCTTGTGTACATTGGGCCTCTCATGAAGGTGCTTGGTTTCTGTTTGGGGAGCATCATGCTTGAAGTCTGCAAAACTCTTTGAGGAATATTTTGTGGGAGGCTCTTGGAAAACGTTGGCTCACATGATTCTGAGAGGTCTGAGATATTGAGGGGATCCCTCTGGGGTCTCCCCACATTCTCTAAGGGTAGTCACAGGGAGGATGACAAAGGGAGGAAGGCAGTGGATGGACAGAGAGCCACAGTGCTTGTGGCTGTTACTGTTAATACTCTCTGGGGCCCTGGGGCCTGGGCTAGCTGACCTTGTTCTTGACCTTGGCAATGGGAAGTCTGGGCACTAACTGGCAAGGAGCTTTCAGGGTTGAAAACTTGAGACCAGAGAGTGGGATAGATTCCTCACTGTAGAGGGAGGCTGGAGTGTGGAGTGCAGGGAGTCTGAGTCATGGGAGTCCCAGTTGCTGAGTGGTCTTTGTGGCTCTTAGCAGTCTTGGCTAAATCACAGAGCCTCTCTAAGATCCTAATATTCTCATATGTAAACGGCAACAATAATGACATTGGTTGCATGAAGTGTGGTCTGGATTGAATGAACTAATCCATGTAGAGTTGTGAGCACAAAATATGTGCTCAGTAAACAGTCCCACAGTGTTTTTATGGTTGCTGCTGTTGACCAGGGTCCCAGCTGGACCCCCAGGAGCTCCAGGTGCCATCAGCTCTTGGGGAGGGGGATGTATCTCTGGCCTTGGCTGTCCACAGACTAAAAAGAGTTTGGCCTCCAATGCTCCATTTTCCTGGACCATTGGACATTAGGCTGCAGCAGGACCCCAGGCCCCAACCCTCTATTGCCTTTTCTGGCTGCCAACAGGCAAACAGGCCAACACAGAGGAGAGGAAGGCTGCCCTCAAAACGGCCTCTGACTTCATCTCCAAGATGCAATACCCCAAGCAGACCCAGGTGAGCCTTGGGGGACCCAGAGGGGTGGGGCCAGTTTGGGGGGTATGTGCTGAGGGACGATGTCCCACCCTCAGTATGGACTGGGTATCTGAGGACCCCTGCTGGGTACCCAACCACATCCTCCTTCTCCCCCTTCCCTTCCCAGGTTTCAGTCCTTCCCGAAGGTGGCGAGACCCCACTGTTCAAGCAGTTCTTCAAGAACTGGCGTGACCCAGACCAGACCGATGGCCCAGGCTTGGCCTATCTCTCCAGCCACATTGCCAACGTGGAGCGTGTACCCTTCGATGCTGCCACACTGCACACCTCCACCGCCATGGCCGCCCAGCACGCCATGGATGACGATGGCACCGGCCAGAAACAGGTGCCATTGGGGGTGGGGTGGCTGGGGTGGCTTGCACAGGGATAAGGACACTTAGGTTGATATCGGAGCAGGAGTAGGAGTTGCCATGGAGAGAAGGGGCGGAGTGGTGGGCATTGCGCACAAGACTTCCTGTTTGGGGAAAAGGCTGCTCTGGAGAGGCCCGTGCTGACGGCAGCCTGTGGGAGGTGCTGTGACGGCAGGCTGCTGGACTTGATCCTGGACCCGATGGGATTTTCTTTTTTGAAAAAGCAGACTTATGATATGCTCAGTTCTGTGCTCTAGAAACTCAACTGTGCAAGTGGATAGGAAGCTGGTGAATGGAGATAGAGAGCCTGTGAGGATGCCGTTGTAAGAATTTAGGGGAGAGAAAGTGATGCCCTTGAGACTTGGGAGGTCACGGTGAGGATGGGGTGGGGGTGAGGCAGAGTCCACTTCAGGGCAATGTGGGCTGCATTCCTATGGCAGGAATAACAACCGTGTTCATTTTGATTTACGATTCTTTTGGTGGTTTTCTCATTGGTGTTATTCATTCACTGCTGCACTGGGTTGGGGAGGATGAAATGAAAATATATTCGGGGCAGGGCAGTGTAGAAGAAGCCTGGATATGATCTGAACTAAGGTAATTTAACCTCTTGGAACCTCACTTTCTTGCCTGTAAATTGGGGTTAATCCTGCTGTATTTACCTTCAAGAATTTCCAAGATCCTGAGACTGTGGAGCAGTTTCCCAGGAATTGGAAGAACTTGGTGTCTCTGTACCACCAGGTGGCACTGCAGGGCCTCCCGACCACTTGGAAGTGCTGCAGAGACCTGCCAGCAGGGGTCTTTCTGAGGCCACTTAGTGATGGCCCTGTCTCTGGAGGTGACCTGTAAAATCCAGGAGATTCAATAATGATACAGAGAACGGTAACATTAGTAATACAATAATAGTTATATTCATAAGAGCAGCTGCCATCTACAGAGCAGTGAGCTGGTGCTAGCACCCTGTTGGACTTCCATGAACGAACTCTGGGACTTCACAATGCTTCCAAGAAGCTACTGTGATTATCCCTGTTTTTCAGATGAGAAAACTGAGACTCAGAGAGGTTTAACAAGTTGTCCAAAGTCACACGACCTGTAAAGGGTGGAGCCTGATCCTGGGTCTGGGCCTGGCTCTTAACCCCCACTGAGCTACATTCCACAGGAGCTGCCCTCATGGTCCTTCCCAGGGGAAGGTCCAGGATGGGCTGGGGGTTTGGTTTGAAGATCCAGAGTCTCATCCCTGCCCCTTGGAGGCTCTTGTGCTTTGGGCAAATTATTTAACTTCATCCTGAGCCCAAGTTGTGTCACCTGGGGAAAGCTTGTCCTGTGTCCTCCATGCCGTGGTTTTCAGATGGCCTGTGTTGGGGTAGGGGTGCCGCATGGTGTCTGACCCCAGCTTTGCCCTGACAGATCTGGAGAATCGAAGGCTCCAACAAAGTGCCTGTGGACCCTGCCACGTACGGGCAGTTCTACGGAGGTGACAGCTACATTATTCTGTACAACTATCGCCATGGTGGCCGCCAGGGACAGATCATCTACACCTGGTGAGGGCCTGGGGCCATCTGCTGTGTTGGGGGGAGTAGGGGGCACTTGCTGGGCCTTGGGCGTGGCAGCAATGGGAGGAGAGTGAGTAGGATGGAGGGAAGTCTGGGGTGTGTGGGCCTGAGGTGGGACAGCCATGCCCCGTCGGGAGAGCCCGCAGTGCTACCTGTTTCTCCAAACAACATCTAACTCACTCTTATCAAAAGATGACATCGTCAGCAATGCGGTTAACAGGTGGAAACAAACAAATCCTACTTCTCCTACAGTCCATGCCAAGCACCGAGCACACTCGGGCTGACCCTTCCATACATTTCTATACCCATAAATACTTACAATGATTAAAAACATATCAACTAAAAATAACTAACTAAACCATTATTTTAAAGTAGAGGGCACACTCATGTTGTTCTGTTACTGAACTCAGTTCCTGGACCCAGAGTTGGAGGAGGATCGCTGAATCCAGAAAGAACTGCAAGTGCAGCCCAGGCTGCGTTGAGGGACTTGGGCTGGACCAGCAGGTAGTCGCAGCACTGATAGGAAGGTTGTCTGGCTAGATCCAGAGAAAAAAACGGTCAGAAACTTCTGCCCAAGGCAGAAGGGAGACTGCACATGGGGAAAAGTGATCCCAGGCTGACTCGCGCAAAGAGCACAGGGGACACGTTTCATGGCACCTCTGGTGTAAGCAGGCACTCAGTCTCTTGGTGTCATCAGCTGCACCAGCACCCTTCCTCCTACCTCCTCAGGTGTTCTGTGTCTCATTTCCATCTTGAGTCTCCACCCAGGATGGGCCTTCTACTCTGCTAATAAGGTGAAAGCAGCTGTGGGTTTCTTGGGTGACTGCCGCATCCTGCATTTGTCCCTGGTCACCTGGAGTTGCCCTTCTCATCAGGGAATCTCCAAGGTCGTTATTTTCAGAATAGTGCAGACCCTGCCCTGGCTGGCTGGAGCTGGCGTTTCTGCTGACCACAGTCTCAGGAGGCTGAGCTGCCTTTCCTGGCCACTGTCCCCCGGCGAGGTGTCTCACCCTCTTGGCCTTGCAGACTGGCACACCGTTAACTCCTCTTGTGGCTGTCAGACCCCGAAGACTGAGAGCTGGCCCTGCTGTCTCATTTCCCTTGACAGGTGTTTATCCTAAGGGATCCTATTTTCACAGGGGTCCCCTTCTGTGTCAGCTCCCAAATCAAAATGATAAAAAGGTATTATTGAGAAATCTCACTCACACCTTCTCTACCCCATGCACCAGAGCCCATCCTGCAGGAGTCACCGCTTCCAGTAATTTCTGGCACATTCTTCCAGTTGTTCTTTATGCAAATGTAAAGAAATATAACTTTATATTCCTAATTTCCTTTCTCACAGAAGAGAGAGTTACTGTGTATATTGTTCTGTACTTTGCTTTTTGGACTCAGTTCTTCCTGGAGAGGAGTCAACGTCATTGCGTAGCTTCCTCTTCTTGGGGTGGCGGTGCTGTGGCTGATTGAACCTGCTTCCTGCTGAGACATAGTTGGGTTGCTTCCAGTCGTTAGCTATGACAAGCATCTCTGAGATTAGTCATCTTAAACAAACATCATGTGGAATGTGTAGAGAAGTCCCTCTAGAGCGAGTTCCCAGAAAGGGGGTTCTGGGTCAAAGAGCCAATGCACCTGTCACTTTGATAGATGGCGGCCAATTTCCCTGGAGAGTATTTGTATTCCCATTTTGTATTCCCACCAGCAACATGTGACAGGCCCTGTTTCCCTGTATCCACACCCCTGGACTGTGCTGTCAAACTTTTAGATGTTTTATCAACCTGATAGTTTATAACTTGACGTTTCAGTGTGCTTTACATTTGTGTTTGAGGCTGAGATGTGGCTCAGGGGTAGAGCACTTGCCTGGTATGTGCAAGGTCCTGGGCCCCATCCCCAGGACCAAAAAACAAAACAAAACCCCCCAAATAACCAAAAAAACAAAAGCAAAACAATACTAAGAAAAATTTTTATAAATTGTGTTTTGCTTTGTATACAGTCTCAGACTTTTTTATTTGATTATTGGCTTTTGTATTTCTTCTTGTTAAAACTTCTTATTTTGAAACAATTTTAGGCTTGTAGGGAAGTTGCAAAAAATCCTAGGCAGTTCTTGTACACCCAGGACCCAGGTTCCCCTGCGGTCACATCTTAGGTAACCCTCATTCAGGAACCTGCCATTGTTACAATGCCTCGTGTTGTCTGTGGGCTTTCCTGGAATTCCCCCAGTTTTCCCACTCATGTCCTTTCCCGTGGACCCAGATCTAACCCGGGAACCCACGTGGCATTTACTCCTCGTCTCAGACTCCTGGACCCTGTGGCACTTTCTCCCTCTTCCTTTTCTTTTTATAATCTTGACGTTTTTTGAGGAATGTCGGGCAATTAGCTTGTAGAATGGATCTCAGTTTTTGACAACTTCACCCTTTTTTAAAAGATGCTTAAAAATTTTAAAAATAGATACTACGTGCACATGGTGTAAAGTCTTAAGAAAGCCCTTTTAAAATAATTGGCTGTGGCAGCACACTGATTTGTCAGATTTTGCTTATTCAGATAGTAGACGTTGGTAATGGGTCATTTAGGCAGCACAGGAAGGGGGTGGGATAGAAAGCCCAGCCACCCCTAACTGTCCCCTCTCTGGACAGTCACCGATCTGTGCAGACCTCTCTGCCTGTGTCCACATGAGGCTAAATCAACTGATGTCTTTTCCCACAACTGGGCTCAAGTCCGCTTGCTATTCTCCGACCTGCCTTTCCACACACAGAAATGTCCTTGGCCACTTTACTGGATCTCAGATTTGTCTCTCAAAGCACCCTCTCCTGTGGCTGTCCAGCACAGGATGACCCAGCCAAGCCCCTGTGGGGCAGGCACGTTGAGGAGAGGGAAGCCAATTTGTTGTACTCAGATCTGTGCAAGACCAGTGCTAAGCCAAGAGCTGGCCGTGTTGGTTTGGCTCCTGGCTCTGGTTTCTCTCTCGAGAGCCCCTTTCTTTCTCTAGCTCGGTTCCATCCCTTGCAGCGTGGAGCTCTGTGGGTTTCTCAGGCCCAGGACTCTGTGCAAACCTCAGTGCCGAGTCTCACTTCCTTTTCCAGGCAGGGCGCCCAGTCTACCCAGGATGAGGTCGCTGCGTCTGCTATCCTCTCTGCTCAGCTGGATGAGGAACTGGGAGGAACCCCTGTCCAGGTGAGCCAGCCCACTGCCTCTCTGGGCTGTGGCCTGAACCTTGTCTGTCTGGTCACTCCTCTGTTTGTCCATCATGCCTACAGCTGCCCTGATGGGCCTTAGAGTCTAGGGGAAGGTAGACATTCAGCACACATGCACACTGATGGATATGTGGGCCATGCACGGTGACTGCACAGCCAGCAAAATGATAGGACACTGTAGGAGAGGGCAGTGGGACAGGCAATGGGGTGGGACAGTAAGAAGATGGGTGTGGAGCAGCCCGCTCGGGTTTGGACGCTGTCTTCATCTCTGGGCAACCTTGGCCAAGTCACTTAGCCTCTCTGTGCCTCTATGTTCTTCAAATAGGGGTGACAATGGTACCCACCTCACAGAATTCCTCTGGTTGAGGAGTAAGAGTTAACATTTGTAAAGAAAGTTACAATCACGCCTGACATGCAGGGCTCCTCCTGTGTATATGAGTGGTAAGTATAAGGACATAAATGCCACAAAAGATCTAATTAGATTTGAGAAGCCATTCTCCTGCTCCCAGGAACAAACTCTTCAGGTGGGGCCTAACAGACAAGTCGGAGTTGGCCAGGCCTGGAGTGAAGGGAAGTGCATTCCAGGTGGAGGGAGGAGCATATGCAAAGGCCCTGAGATGGAGGCAGCAGTTGGTGTGAGGGTGAAATGACTTGAGGCTGGAGGGGTGGTCAGAGGGGCTGGACCACATGGAGGCCACAGTGATGGATGCTGACCTTGACCCAGAGAACAGTGGGGAGTTGCTGAATGGTGAAGTTCACCTTGGGTGAAGGGATTTCTGGTTAAAAGGTCACCCTGGCTGCTGACTGAGCCCTGGAAGGCCGCAGAGCCAGGCTGTCAGGGGATTGTGGGGGAAGCAGACAAGAGTTCCACCTCCATCCTGCCCTTGGGGCGGGTGGGGCTCTGCATGTGGATCAGTGGTCAGCTTCCTTCCTGATGACTGTGACGGTCTGGGTACCAGACAGTGAGAGGGTCACTGTCTTTGCTCATTCATCCCAGCAACAGCCTTGGCAGTAGCTCTGGGCCCCACTCAGAGAGGAAGAAGCCAAGAGGCTGAGGTGAGGCCAAGTGCCCCCGTCAGGTGGCTCTGAGACATGAGCTCCAGCCCAGCCAGGGCAGGTGGCTGCCCCGATGCAGTGAGCAGAGACCACGCCTGGGCTGGAAGTGAGGGAGACGCTCAGGCAGAAGCGGATGTGACACATCTTGGTGTAACTCTTGCTCCTGTCCCTCCACCACCAAGCCCCGTGTGCAGGAGGGGTCTCTCCAGATCTGGAAGTCCTCTGTGGCACCGGCTCAGTGTCTGGAACTGACGTCACCATTCTGGAAGAATGTCCACCACCAATCCTTAACTTCCATTTAAGGGAATATCTGCAAACATGGGCTTCCCTGGTTCTTGGACTAGACTCAGGGTCAGTGAGGCAAGTCCTCATGGGGGTAGAGAGGGGGAGCAGCCAAGGCAGCGCCCAGAGGACCTCAGGAAATAGCATTGTTTCCAGCCTTCCTGGAACCCCATTTCCCTGCCCAGCGCCTGTGTGCAGCAGGGTCACGTTCAGACACTGTGTGATGGCCTTGTTTGGGGGTGGGTGGGTGCAGTGCCACCCAGAAGGACTGATCAACACTCCCCCTTTCCCAACTTGCTCTCCTGTCTCCCTCCAGAGCCGTGTGGTCCAGGGCAAGGAGCCTGCTCATCTCATGAGCTTGTTTGGCGGGAAGCCCATGATCATCTACAAGGGCGGTACCTCCCGCGAAGGTGGGCAGACTGCCCCTGCCAGTACTCGCCTCTTCCAGGTCCGGTCCAGCAGCTCTGGAGCCACTCGGGCTGTTGAGGTAATGCCCAGGTCCTGGATCCCAGAGGGATTCCCTGGAACCTGCCAGGCTTGATGGGCAGATCCACAGGCCCAGGAGTGGGTGGGGCCGGGTGAGGGGCTGCGCATGTTCTACCTTCCTACACTGGCAGCAGGACTGTCTTAGACGTCCCCCTGTTTCAAGGATGCCCAGGGTCTTTAGCACATCCTCCATAATACAGCTCCTTCCCTGCACCACCTGGACACGGTTCCTGATCCCATTCTAACTGCCCTGTCCCTTTCATGGTGGGAGGCACAGACCCAGATATAATTCTCCAAGATGGTCTGAGTCCTGGAGAGGAAGGGTGAACCTCTGTTAATGGAGCCTGGAATTCTAGAATCATCTTGGCTCATCACTGTGCATTAGAGACTCATGGGAGTCAGCTGCACCCCTCAGCTTCCAAAGTCTGTGCACTCAGCTATGCTAGGGTGTGTTTTCCCAAGTCCTCACCTGGGCACTGGCTGGTCCCAATGCAGGGTCTCCTGGGCTGTGAAGAGGGGCCTGATAAAGTGAGTACTTTCCTCACAGGTAATGCCCAAGGCTGGTGCTCTGAACTCCAACGACGCCTTTGTCCTGAAAACCCCCTCAGCTGCCTACCTGTGGGTGGGTGCAGGAGCCAGTGAAGCCGAAAAGACGGGGGCCCAGGAGCTGCTGAAGGTGCTGCAGGCCCAGCCTGTGCAGGTGGCAGAAGGCAGTGAGCCAGGTAGGAGCTGGCAGGCTCTGCAGCTGTCAGCTTTCCCTCCTTCCTTCTGCTCAGGGCTCTATCTTCCCACCTGTCCCCAGCATGTGTTAAAGAGAAGTGATTGGATTAAAATGGGGGCGGTGATCAGGGAGAGGGTGGTCTCTGGGAGTTAGACAGGAGAGTGCAGCACAGGCAGGGGCAGTCTGGGAAGGATGCTGGAGGAGGTGGTCACTTGCCAGGAAGCCACCAGGGCTGATGGCATGAGGGCAGTCATGCCATCAGGCTGCTTCTCTTGCTGAATTTAGATGAAGAGCATCTTCCCTTTTCTGGGAATGAGGAACCAAACTTTGGTTTATATTTAATTTTAATGAGTTTAAACATCAGTGTGCTCATGTGGGCAGCGCAGGCAGAGACAGAGCAGGTGTAGTGAGAAGAATATGGAGATCGAGATCAGAAAGGATTTGCATCCTGGCTTACTGATTACCAGCTCTGTGCCTTGGCTGAGTTGCTTAACCTCTCTGAGCCTCAACTGCCTCTTTGACAAGTGGTGATAATTATCCCCGTCCCATGTGCTGTCGTGCTGGCTGTGCCTCTGCCAAGGGTACCCTCTGTAGGCCTCCCTTTCATCATCTTCAGACTCCCCAGGGCCCCTCCCCTTGGCCCCCTGGGATTTGAAGGTGGAGTTGGGGTACAGAGCAGTTGGTTGGGCTCTGGTAGGGCCTGCCACCCAGTCTAGTGTGACAGTGGCATCCCTCAGCAACTACTGTGGCCTCCCCTCATAGACAGCTTCTGGGAGGCCCTGGGCGGAAAGGCTGCCTACCGCACGTCCCCACGGCTGAAGGACAAGAAGATGGATGCCCACCCTCCTCGCCTCTTTGCCTGCTCCAACAAGATCGGCCGCTTTGTGGTGAGCCTCTTCAGAAATGGGTCCCAGGGGGCCAGTGGGCCCCAGGGTCAGGAGAAAGGATCCCCTGCCTGGGAGGCAGCCCTGCAGCTCCCTCCTGGGGGAAGGGAAGGGTGCTGATGCCCTTCCACCATGAACCTCCTTCTGTCTTCCCCAGATCGAAGAGGTCCCTGGTGAACTCATGCAGGAAGATCTGGCTACCGATGACGTCATGCTCCTGGACACCTGGGACCAGGTGAGTGAGAAGCAAGGTGAAGGCCAGAGGGAGGGGGAGAGGCTGGACCTCTAGCTCTAGGAGCAGTGGCCAGGTGGCCTGCAAACAGGCAGCACCAGGTGTTCTCAGGAAAGTCCCCAAGTGCGGCAGGCCATTTCCCCTCTGAGCCTCTGCTTCATCTGCTATTAATGGGAATGAGGGTTCCTACCTTGGGGACACAGTGCACCATGTCGGTGCAGATGGTGAGTGCTCACCTAAACCTGTTGGTAAAGAAGGCTGAGCTCCTGTGTCACCCGGGGATAGGGGGAAGAGTTGGAAGTGCCCCTCTTTCTGTTTCAGAGGGCTCTGGACTCTGCTTCTTCTTACAGGGGGACTGTTGTGCTGGACTCAGTTGGGAAAGTACTGTTCATTCATTCATTTAACCAGAATCCATCGAGCACCTGCTTTGTGCCTGGTGCTCTCTGTTTTGGATGCTGGGAATAGAGGGATGAATGGAGTCCTTGTCCTCCCAGGGCTCATTCTCATGGTGGGTGTCGGGTCACCCCTCCCATCAGATTGCCTTCTCCCAGAGTCCTTGGGGTTGTGGAATAGATGGCCACTGGGGCATGAGCCTCCCCATCCCTGCAACAGGGCTGCTTCTTGGGTTCCTAGCTGGAAGATCAGCACCAACATGTCATTGATTGATCCATGAGCTACTTAATCAGCTTGTCCATCTGTTTATTAGTCCACTCAGCCAGCACCACCATCTTCCGGGCAAATGCTGAGTGCTGGGAATCCTCTGATGAGCCAAGTAGATACAGTACCTGCCTTGGAGGGGCTCCAGTTTAGGAGGCAACACACTGATAAACAAAGAGCCATCGAGTTGGGCATCTTATTGTCCAGGGCCATTCAAGGCAGGTGCTCTTGAAAGCAATGTTAGAAATGCATAAAAACAGATGACATAAAAATAAGCTGAATAGACTTTTATGTAAGGCTCAAGCGGTGGTAGTGGCGGTGGGCTGTTTTTATCCCAAGTCTTAGACCCATGTTGACCCAGACAGAGATGGGCACGTAGGAGACTTTCAATATATATGTGTTGGATGAATAAATGAATAAGAATGTGTTACTCATTTGTTCAACAAATAAATCCCTTTAAATGGATTGTTCATGAACTTTTTGAGAGGTGTCTCCAACTCAATATCTGATGGACCTGGTCAGGCAGGGGTGGGGAGACGGGAAGGAGCGGTGGAGCCTGAGGCAAACTGCGTCTGCCCAGCTTCATCCAAGTGAGAGTGGACACCCAGGGCGGCTGGATCCTCTAATTTCTTAAGAGAAGTTGGAAATCTAAACGTCTATGTCATCATTGGTTCCTGAATTTGTGGAAGAAGATATTACATATGGCGGGCGGGCAAACACATTTGTAGGTTACCACTTTGTGACCTCTGTTCCACATCCTTCCAGCTCTGGGCTCTGTTAGTCGGCCGAGGGCTCTGTCTTGTCCAGTACCTGGCACCTCCCCATTCCTCCTCCAGCAGGGAATTTGCTCAGCGCCCCTCATGTACTTTTCATTTCATACCTCCAGGTCTTTGTCTGGGTTGGAAAGGATTCCCAAGAAGAGGAAAAGACGGAAGCCTTGACATCTGGTGAGGATGTCTGTGTGATCTTTGGCTGTGAGGTTGTGGGCACAGCTTAGGGCACTGGTCTGGAAGTTAGCATCACGGGTTGAGCACTTCCTCCTTCACAGTCAGTCCCTCGTAATCCCTGCCTGGGGTGGTGTATTAGTCAGCTCTCTGTTACTATTAGAAACACCTGAGACAATCATTTCATAAAGAGAAAAAGGTTTATTTTGGCTCACGGTTTTGGAGGTTTCAGTCCACTGTCAGTCAACCCTGTGGCTTTTGGGCCTGTGATGAGGCAGCATGTGGTAGAACAAAGCCATTCACCTCAGGTTGTGACTCAGAAAAAGAGGAGGCAGCAAAGTCCACTGTCCTCTTCAAGGACACATGTCCAGTGATCAGAAGACCTCCCCAAAGGCCCCATGACCACCCACTCCTTCCAATAGTGCCCAGCTAGGGACCAAGCATTGCATAGGCTTGTGGAGGGCATCCAGAAGCCTATTATATAGCAGGCAGTGAAAAAAAACAGGTTGGTTGCTTTAGGAAGCCTCAGGGGAAACCAGGGGAAGGAGGGGCCAGAGGAGAAGCTGCACCCAGCGTCCAGGAGGTCTGACAGCTGAACTCAGCAGGGTTCTGATGTAGGAGAGCAAATCCCTAGTAGTTTCATGGAGCTGATTTCGGAACTGGGAACGTAAATGCAGGTTCTTTAATGTCTTCCAAAGGACCTATCCAAGGAAGGGCTGAGAGTTTTGTGGCAGCTCATGTCCTGAACCACCCTCTCCCTGGTGGGGGAGGCACTAAAAATTCTTGGGGGTTCTTTTTCCCACATGTGTGCCTACAGCTAAGCGGTACATCGAGACGGACCCTGCTAATCGGGACAGGCGGACCCCCATCGTTGTTGTGAAGCAAGGCTTCGAGCCCCCCTCCTTTGTGGGCTGGTTCCTCGGCTGGGATGACGACTACTGGTCTGTGGACCCCTTGGACAGGGCCCTGGCTGAGCTGGCTGCCTGAGGAGCAACAAGACCCACCGGGGTCACTATTCAGTGCCTTTTAGAACTGTCTGTCTCCCCAAGTGATCTTCCGGCGAGCCAGATGTGTGTGCGTGTGGGGTTTTTTTTTTTTTTTCTTTTCCTTTCTTTCTTTTTTTTACAGTAGACAAAAACAGCCCTGCAAAATCTCAGGGTTCTTGCAGAATTTCCTCAAATATCTGCGCTTTGAAAATTGAATTCAATAAAAGCTTTTTGAAGTGTGTTAACTTCGCATGCCTTACCTGTTCTCCTCGTGCAACAGCCCTGCACACCTGATAGCAATAGTGTCTTCCTGCCTGTGACCCTCGTAATTTGGAGAAATGCACAGAGAGGCACCTTGCATGTGCTTGGGAACCAGTAGATGAGCTACATGCACCCTGGGTGCTAATCCTGGTCCTCCAAGAAGCAGATGCTGATATGAGATGAGATGAGCTCAGACTGTACTGGGGAAAATGCCTCGCAGGAAGACTGGGAGGGCCATCAGACCCGGATGCAAGTACGACCTAGGTGGAGAAGGAGAGCAGGCCGGCAGAAGCATCCTTCCTGACCATCAGGAAGGTTGAGCAAAGCTTTCAAGCAGTCCTGAGCCACAGTCCTATTTTTGCTGTTTTTGATTGTAGCTAACTATACATAGCAAAATATATATCCCTTCAGCCATTTGTAAGTGTACAATTCAGTGATATTATCCACTATGTAACTCAGAGTAGCTATCACACTATCTTTTTCATACCCAAATCTTTTTCATAATCCTCAACATATGTAATGTAACTTGCACATTAATTAAATGATAATTCTTCATCCGCCCCCCACCCCCGCAACCCCAGGAAATCTCTGTCCTACTTTGTCTCTGAAGTTGCCCACTCTGTGGAGTCACGTGATAGCTGTTGTCTGTGTTGGACTTGTTTCATTTAGAATAGCATTTTCAAAATTCATCTGTGTTAGAGCATGTACCAGCATTTCATTCCTTTATCTGGCAGGATAATATTCCATTGTACGTATACGCCACATCTTGTTTATTCACACATCCACTAATGGACACATGGGTTGCGTCCACACTTTGGCTGTTGTGTTAATGCTGTTGTGAACATAAGTGTACAAATATCGGTTTCATTCAAAGTGTTGTGGGCCAGAGTCAAAGTCAGCCAAGGAAGGAGTTGCATGTCTCTCATAAGCAGGTGTGTCTTATGTCCCCACTGAGTTCTGCCATCAAGGGGCATGACCTTGAGGCAGCTGTGGGGTAGCCTAGAGCCCTTAGTTACATTCCCTCATAGAAACTGGGCAAGGTGCATCATCATAGCTGTCACACCCTGTGACATCTTTCTGGATCTTTCTCTCCACTGCTGGTTCCCACAGGTTTATTCTGCTGTCCCAGAGCTGTTTGGAGAAATCTCTGCTGCTGCAGCTACCATCCTAGGAGCTGTCCCTGGTTGTGCCCAAGTTTGCAGGCTTTGGGACGTAGGGGAGGGATTCCTCAGTGCCCTGTGTGATCTCTTGGGTTTGAATCTCTGTTCATGCTCAGGGTGTCAGAGGTCCCTCTTCAACATTTTCATGAACTGCCTCAAAATCTTTTCCTTGTGGACATTACAAACCAGTCCAAGGAACCTGCTGAAGGGAAGAGCCCATTCCCTCTCCTCCTTCATCTGGACTCTTCTCACCAAGTTTCCCCCTCTTGTTCCATGCTACTCCCTCCACCCTGTCCCAATCCAAGTTATGTAGTGAAGCTCTTTTATGTGAGACTGTAGAAGACAGACACCAGTGTGAGGGTGATGTGATGAGAAGAGAGAGAGAGAGAGAGAGAGTGTGTGTTTACACTGTTGTTTCCAAAGCTGGTTGGGCCCTGAAATTATCCAGGGAGCTTTTTAAAAGCATGAGTTCCCATGAGCCCTACCTCCTGAGATTCTGATTCATCACAGAAATGACGAGGGTAGTGGAGAAGGAATTTTCCGGGTGAAACATGGGGGATGGGTAAGTCCTCTCGGGCAGAGGGTGCAGCAGGGACACTGGCAGGAAGCCAGGAAGGAGAATGGTGTGCTCAGGGGCAGACAGCGGATATGGCTGGATAGAAGCTGGGTGGTGCCAGTCTTTGGAGCTGAGCCACTTGTGGGCAGGGCCCTTGAATGCCACATGGATGGGTTTGGACTTGATCCTATGATGTCTGCTACCCGCAAAAAGTTGCTTTCAAGTGGTCAAAGCAAGCAATCAACTTAACACTTGGAACACAATCAACAGTTACCAGCTGAAGCTTCTAGGAATTCATTAGAGGCAAGTGGAGACCTGTTGGACAAAGCCAGTTTACTTCCTGGGAATTCATGGGAGGTTACTGGAGGTGGACCTTCCTGGCAGTTGTTTTGGTCTACACGGTGGTGCAGGATGTGGCTGTGACTTCTAGGGAGAACTGTGCAAAGCCCTGAGAGGAAATTGCCTGGGGCCACTGGATTGCTCTGACTTCCTAGTTTTCCTTCAAGGGCAAAAGAATGAAATCAGTAACAGTTTCACTTCAGCCATATATTTTCTCTTCCTAATACTTTTAGATTTTAGCTGTCCTACAACTGAGATTTCACCATCACATTAGATGGTCCCACAACTGAGAAGCCGCAGTGAAACTAGAACTAGATGCCAAAATGGCATCTCTTATTAGAGATAGGCCAGGATCTTGAAGGATCCTGGGTGGGATCTTGGGCAATTCAGTTCAACAGATACTTACTTTGTACTTATTTTGTGCAAGCCATTAGAAATTAATTAAAAATTCTCCTCTGAGCTGGGGGTGTAGATCAGTGATAGATTCATATTTAGCAGCATGAGGTTTCAATCCTTAGCATCAATTTTTTTTTTCTGAACTTCCAATTCTCCATTTGCAAAATGGTAATGTTGTATTCATCTGTTACCTCCTGAGAGGCGATATACTTTTGTGGGCAATAGCTGGGCTTGGCATCAGGGTTCCAATTCCAGCTCCACCACTTCTTAGCAATGCAATCTTAAGCTCTTTAGTTTCCTTAGATGCAAAATGGGAATGAGAACAGTGTCTAGCCTCTGAGAATTTTTATAAAGATACAGGAGGCAACACTTGACACAATATATGACCAGAGTAAGTGCTCAAAAATGAAAAATTTAAAAAGCGTTGTCCATGGTATACATTTATGGAGGTAAAGGCCCTGGGTGCTGTGGGCCAAATAGATGTATTAGGCTGAGAGCAATGGGAACCAACTCAAACCAAATCAAACCCTGAGCACACTGCAGTGCTCACACATGTGACAGTCCAGGGTTTAGGGGGCCTTTGTGGTTGACTCAAACCAAAGGGTCTGGGATTCCTGTTGATTCTCCTGGCTCTGCCATCCCCAGTCTGGTAGTGAAATATCTGGCTCTGCACACATGCATGGCAATGCCCAGAGGAAAAGCAAAAGGATGTTTCTAGAATTTTTCCTAGAAAGGGAAGAGGAAGGAACCCCTCCCAAATTCACAAGAGTCCATATTGGGTCACATGACCTACGGTAGGCCAGGAGTGAGGAGTTATCCATGGGCTAAATCATCCCAGCTGCTAGGGGTGAACTCCTCTTGGGAGGTAAGAGCTCTAAGGGGGCGAGGGGACAACTCAACAAAGTCGTGGCTCCCAGGAAGGAGGAAGAGGTAGACAACTATTTTAGTGGAGACGTTTTGGATCCTGATGCTGAAAATAAAGAATATTATTGGTAGTGAATCCTTATAGTCTTGTGGCATCTTGTAATTTTCAGGGGGTTTAATTTATAGCCATTTTTTTTTCTCTAGGAATGTTTTGGGAAACTTCCTAGCCACTCTTGTTACTAAACCTCTAGAACTTTTAAAAAAAACTTTTTAAGATGCTGGAGGTCTAATTCAGGGGCCTCAAGCATGCTGGGCAAGCATTCCACACTGAGCTAAGTCCCCACCCCCAACACCTCGGTTTTAACAGCGGTTTCAGTGTCCTCTCTCGCCCATGTCTTCTCTTCTGGCTGTGGAGTAGTTTGAAAAGGGCTGAATTTTATTAACAAGTCCAATTCCTTTCTTAGCATGATCTGAGACTGGATCTGCTGTGGGCCTGCTGTTATCAGCATCATTGTATGAGATGGTCACAAATAACCTCAGCGAATCCAGGGGTTTCCCATAGCCTGGGAAATGGGATCATGCAGAAAGCTTGGCAATCTATTCATAGGGTTCCTTTAGCCTTCTTGGTTTCGGTGAAGTAAGAGCAATTCAGCCAGCTGTATAGCTTTGAAGTTAGGACCTTAGAGATGATCTAGTCCAGTGGTACCAAAGTCTTTGAGTAGATATTGGTAGTGGGGTCAGTGTTCCCCATTAAGTGTACAAATTTGAATGTGCATTCTCTGCATGCACTTTCCAAAGATGAAGCTCTGCAACTTTCAACAGATTCTTGTGTGTGTGTGTGTGTGTGTGTGTGTGTGTGTGTGGTGCTGGGGATTGAACCCACCCATGGCCTTGTGCATGTAAGGCAAGCAGTCTACAAACTGAGCTATGTCCCCAGCCCGTCCAACACATTGTTAAAAGGTCTGACACCCAAACAGGTGGACTGCAGTCTCCTTTTACAGGTGAGGAAAATGAGGCCGAGAAGGGATGTGACTCCTCTCGGGTCACATTGCAAGCTGTACCGGATGGTTAATAAACCATGCCAGAATTCTGAGGTGTCTCCATGATTTGAAAAATATGATTCAAATTTTATCTTTCAAGTGGTAATAAGAATCACTGATACTTAGAAGCAAAACAGAGAAATGAGTTGAGTACAGAGGCTGATTTAAGATTATAACTCTTGCATAACTCTGATTTACTTTACAGGGTTATAAATGTGCATTTAAGAATTTAACCTGGTAAAAGGTAATTTAAATCTTTTGCTAGCATATAGTTTCCTTTGAAAAAAGGGGCTTGCTGCTAAGAAGAAGTTTGAAAACCATTGATGAGTAGGAAGGACTCCAAGTTCACTCTTAACTATCTGACCTCGGGAGGACCTGGTGCCATGGGCATCACAAGATATAATGTACTGCCAAGGCTGCATAAGCTCAAAGTCCACAGAACCCTGATTTCCTTCCGCTCAGGCCAGTGATTTGTTAACACACTCTGGTTATAAACACCCACTCAACTACCCTCATTTGTACCGAACTTTGGCTAGATCAGACGACCCCAAAGTAAAGTTTAAGGCTTGCTTGGGCATGACAGTTTTGAAAAACTTGTGATCTACATAAAAAACAACCGTAGTGTAATG